TATCAGGATCCACTGGGGGGCTTGTTAAAAATACAGATTTCTGAGACGCACCCTGACTTATTAAATCAGAATATTTTGGTGGGCTGCCTGGGGACCTGCATTTCATCGGTGTCCCGGGGCGTTGCCTATGCAATCCAGGGCCTGGACATCACTCACAGGGGCGCGCAGGTCATGGTACACCCCATCGAGCTCAGCCAAGTCGTGACTGACACCCAGCGGCGGTGCCACACTGAGGTCTCCTTGTGGGGGGGACCAGGAAAGGATCCAGGTTTGGTCAGGTCCGAAGCTTAATATGTGAGGCTGTTTTGAGGGGAAAAACTGAAGACTTGGAAGTATAAGCTTGAGTTAAACACAGGAATATATATTTATAATGAGAAAGAAAATTAAATTATTAATTTTAGAAGATGGCATATCATAAAATCCAGACATATAGCATTAATAATGAACTGTATGACATACTTTAGGACGGTTTTGGGTTGCTGAGTCTCCAAAGGACAGCTGTTTGGCCCGATCGCTTTCTGTGCAGACAGTGGAAAGATGATTGTCTCCTGGGGTAATTTCAATAGAATTTGGCCTTTTTATTAATTTTTTTACTATAGATGGTTGTGATGCATAAATCTTGGAACTTCACGTACAAAATACAGACACGCAGTGCACATAACCCACAAACATAAGAATTCTCATTAATTCTATTTTCTGTGATTTCCTTGGGGGAAAAAAAAAACCTATGGTTCATTTATATGTATATATGCTGAATTGAGTATATCCTTGACAAGAGAGGGTTTCTGTTTTGACTTGATGTCAATGAGAATTGAATCCTACATTCTAAATTTTACATACCTAGTGAGAGAAAAAAATGTCTGGCTTTTGGTTTCTCCACTACCCACTTATTTCTGCTGCTGGCCATTGTAGGAGAAGCTTACAGTGTGATGTCTCTTGTCCTGTAACCTCATGACCCCACCCTTGGTGATTTGGCACCAGAGGTGGAACAATTCCTTAAAGACATTTCTACACCAGAGAGCTAGCAATGATGTACCTTTGCAGGGCAGTGTCTGCAAACCATATACACATATACCATTGCACCCCAACTATATGAACCCCCAATTTAACTTCCTGTTAGTTAGACCTCCAAGATGCATGTAATTCCTCCAAAGTCATGGAGCATAAAGAGACGTTGACAAAGGCAGGGTCTAAGCTCGTTGCAATGACGCATCTTCCTTAAGTCCGTTTTATAAAATTGTATGATACTGGTAATGCATTGCTGTGCCCTGCACCCCGCCCTCCCCAGGGCCAAGGAAGGGGACTGAGCGAGGGATGGCCTGAAACTTCAACTTCATTCCCTGGACAGCAAACTTTTGGGGGGAAGAATCAGGGAGAAACACAGATTGGAGATCGTCTTTCCTCGTATGTTTTTGACATTACAACCTGGTTCCCTTTTTGTACTAGAAAAATTAATGTACTCAGCATATCTGAATTGTTTTCCTTCATGGCTGGATTATTGACAACAGATGTATCCAATGCGTTATGCTTGGCTGACAAGGCTCCTGCTGCAGTCATTCATGGGAAATTGCTCATTCCCTTCCCTGTTTCTTAACCTGTCGATCAGTCGATTGATCTATCAATCTCTCTTTTTTTTTTATTCCAGAGTTTCAGATTGAAGCATGTTGTTTCATTTAGCTCATGAAAGTAGGCAGGGCGTATGGTGGAGATGTAGGAGGCCTCATGACATAGAAAAGGCCACTCTAGCCCTGGCCGGTTTGGCTCAGCGGTTGGAGCGTCGGCCTGCGGTCCAGAGAGACCCGGGTTCGGTTCCCGCTAAGAGCACGTACCTCGGTTGCAGTTTGTCCCCGGCCCTGGTTGGTCGTGCGGGTGGCAGCCACTCCATGTGTCCCTTCACATCGATGTTTCTCTCTCTCTTCCTCTCACTCTATCTGAACAAAAAATGGAAAAATGTCCTCGGGTGAGGATAAAAAAAAAAAAAAAAAAAAAGAAAAGGCCACTCTACCAGGCATCAGAGAATCTGAGTTCTGATCCCTACTCAGCTTCTACTTTGCTGTGTGACTTGAAAGGGGGCTACTTTACCCTCTGGGCTTTGAGCAACTCAGCTGGTCTGTAAACGTGGGGCAGAGTCATCGGTTCCGAGGCATCTGGAGGTTCTGCACAGGTGGCTCTGAGTGGCCAGTCCCTCATTCTTGCTTCATGCAGAGGACCTCTGCTCTCTTGCTGTTTTATACGCTAGATTGGAGTTTCAAGATTTTTGTCTTGAATTGATGGTACTGTGGGGGGCGGGGGGGAGGACTTTTTTTGTTTGTTTTTTAGAAAAGTTGTCCCAAATGCTTGAAATGTCCTGGGAAGCTTTGTAACAAGTTCTACTTTCGTCATAGAGCTCAGATTTTGGATTTGGATTTGTTCAGTTTCTTTTGAATTCTGCTGCATTGAGAGACATTATTCTACACCAGTGATATGCCACCTTCTCTACACTTCAGGATGATCTAGGGAGCTTTTCAAAAATGCTCATGCCTGGGTCCTGCCCTGTGACTATTATTTAATCGGCCTGAGGGTAGATGGTTTGAACAGCTCCACAGGTGCCGCTGGTGGGCACCAGGATGGAGAACCCCTAGTGGGAATAATTGCTGAATGCTGGCAAGTTCTTACAATCTGTGTATGACAAAAGTTAACAAGTATGATATCCATCTGTCCAGTCTCCTATAGGTATTTATCAAATGTGGCATTTCTGTTTTATAGCTAAGCTATGTCATTCTCCCATTGGTTGGGGTGAATGTCAGAGGAAAGACAATTGGTATGGGAGGATAGCTTTAGCCTCTGTGCACTCACGTGTGAAGAAGTCCTTGCTGTTCATCCTACTCCAAGAGTCAAGGGTGATCATTCGTGTCCTTACTCTGCCACAAACCCTGTGGCCACGCACAGGTGGGTCAGCTTCTCTAGTCTTCACTTGGGTCATTCATAAAATTAGTTGATGGGAATCAAAGACCATTTCAGATACGATTCTAAGGTTCTATGATTATTTCCTTAATGTACAGAATATGATTTAATAGAGGATCAAGGCCTAACTTCCTTCAGATGTATGAGGCATGTTTTCTCTTCCCGCTGATCTTTGTAAAAAGGCCAGTGAGCAGTGGCTTTGTGTTCTCACGTCGTTACAGCACAGCCTTATCTACAGAACTGGAAGGAGCTGAGTGAGCAAATAGAGATTTGCTTACAGAATGAACCTCACTGCTTGGTTGGCAACTCAGAGCTCTGGGCGCATCCAGTGGAGGTTTGCAAAGATACAAACAAGAACTTCCCCTGGCGTTTGGCTTGAACGTTTGTGTTCCCCCTTCCCACCCTAGAGGGCAGCACATGTCGTAGTTGATGGGTGATCATTCACTCGTTCATTCATTCATTCATTATTTATACATTTATTTCTTCATTTATTAGTTCCACATACAAATATTTACTCATATCCTCAAAGGAGGGCCTGGTTTCAGTGCTGGGGTCCTGTTCAGAATGAGAGAGATGTCACGTAGGCCTCTACTGAGCATTCCTGTGGACTGTAAGTAACAGTTCACTTGGTTTTTCAAGTGGAATTCTGCTGCCTAAAGGCCGCGAGTTCTCGGGGCTGGGGGGTTGGGTTTTATGCATACGTTTTAATGATTATCTGAAAACCATGAAAGGATCCTGTCCCAAACTATCTGGAAGACGACCCCATAACCAGGGATGTCATTTCAGGGCTCACATTTTGTTTGTCACGATGGTCACTTAGTACCACATGTGCCTAATCGAATTGCTGTTGAGTAAAGATGAAAATAAACAGAGGCAGGTCTTCTTCTTAGGGAAGGAAGTATGCCTACCTGAGCGCCAAGTGGAGTAAACAGCCCTAGATAATCTGAGTGGAGAGACTCAGTCGGGGCCCTGGCGTCACGTGGCTCATGGCAGAATAGGGACGATGTACTCTGCTAAAACCTTGTGCACTTTAGTTTCAGCAAGTCTCCTTCCTCTGTGGCAGTCAGTCCTTTCCTGTTTTGAATGATACCTGTTGGTAGCATTGCTTGTATTTAATTTCAAAATTTGGTTCGGTTGTATAATATGGAAATGATACGTTTACTTATTTGTGTTGGTTTCTCATTAGTAGTGCTGGTATAAAGATCATTGGTTTCAACAGCAGGGATTTGCGAAAGCATCCTTACTTTAAAGGGAGTTGGTGCATTAGTTAGTATTGACAAATATTGTTCTCACTTATTCCCCCAGTACCCTGCAAGCCCTTGGAAGGCATGCTTACGCCTTACTTGACTTTGAGTCTCCTTTATGTTTAATAAATACATGAGTTGGTTGATACCAATTAGAACAGTCTGATGCATAAGGACTAACTTTAAGGGTAGTGAGTTCTCTGTCAAGGGAAGCATGTAAGAATAGGCTATTCAATATTGTTACATATTCCTGGGTCAAATGAGGCTTAATCTATGTGCCCATCAACACTCCTTTGAACTTTGAAATAGAGGGAATATCAAAATTGTTACTTTTGCCACTGACTTTCTGGCAAGTAAGAATGATTGCATTTGGGGTCATTACCCCTAAATATTAGCCTGAATAGTATTATACCACTCCAGTGATCTGATGGGGTTATTTTATTTCCTTAGATGAGTTATAAATATTACCCTCAGGACTTTACCCTCAGGATCTAGTTACACTAGATCTTGAGTGTCTCCTTCAGAAAAATGTTGGATTCTAAGAGACATTTGGAAATGACTTCCTAGGGTCCCTTGCCTCCCATGATACGTGTGTGTGTGGATGTCTACACGTATGTCATGAGAGATGGCTGCATGAACTGACAGGGTTTAAGCAAGTGTCAGAGGAAACAGATTTTTAGAGTCATCAGGAGGTGGAAATGTATGGATGGCAGCCAGCCATATTTCTTCATCAGTTGATTTTTTTTTTTCCTTTTTCCCACCCCCTCTCCGCCGTTTAATATGTGTGCTCCTCTCTCGCCTCATGTATTTCAGATGCCTCAGGAACAGTACACGCACCACCGGAGCGCCATGCCCAGCTCCGAGGGGCCGCAGGTGTACAAAGTGGGGATTTACGGCTGGCGGAAAAGATGCCTGTATTTCTTTGTCCTGCTCCTGATGATTTTAATACTGGTGAACTTGGCCATGACCATCTGGATTCTCAAAGTCATGAACTTCACAATCGTAAGTCAAACCGCGCAAGTTTCTTGAGCTCTGTCTGGGGGATGGGGATGTCTCGGGCAAGGAGGGACGAAGGAGGGGTGGTCATAGGCTTCGTGATAGCCTGAAGCCTGGTGCTTGGGTGAAAAACATTTTCCTGTTCAAATTACGTGTGAGGGCGGACTTCTTTCTAATCTTAGTTCCTAGGAGGCCGGTTATCCACTTCCGACGCGTTTTCTCCTTTACGACCCTGTGTACGCCTTTGATTACCGTGGTCTGTTCCCTTTATTTACAGGCTCTTTGAGTACATAATGCAGGAGGAAATACGGGATAAATTCAAAGTAGTATGCTGCCCTGAAGGAAATTTTACTGTGGGTGCTCAGGGCCACTATACTGATTGAATATTTACTTGCTGAAGTTCAAGTGAAAAGAAAATCTTGGCAAAATTATTTCTTGACTTATTCTGAAGTGTTCTCTTTTTTTCCCCCTAGAGATTTCCTAGCAATTCTAGCAAGATAAGTGATTTAAATTCTTAGGGTGCACGAATCTGCTACCCTTAGAATACTTTCCTTTCCCGTGATGTCAAAATTCTGCGATTAGATTGGCAAAAAAGTAAATCTTGTGTGATGAAGCAGAGTCACCATACCACGATCGACAGTCAGGTGTTCATGGGACAGTCCCACGTGGGAGATGGGAAACTCACCTTCTCTGGATGATCGAGTTCATCTGTATGCTGAACACTGTGCGTCGTCACTCCCTTACCGGGGCAGCATCTCCTGCTTACGTTGCTGCTCTGTCTCGCGTGCCTGGCGAAGCCGTCCCCGATGCTCCGGTGGCCCCTTTCATGCATCCGTCGCTACACTTCGCGCTCTGGATAAGGATTTCTGCGTGTGCTTCCCAGGCAGACTGAACTTGGAGGGAGCGAGGGCTGCGAGTTTCTCTGGGTGTCCTTGTTCACTGCTCACAGTGGTGCTGCATTAGGACTAAATTCGGGTCCTACCTTTAGAGACACAGTTTCAGGCTTCAGAATGGTTCACTATTTTCTTAATCCTCACCTGAGGAGTCCGGCTGGCGTGGCTCAGTGGTTGAGCATCAACCCATGCACCAAGGGGTCGCCGGTTCGATTCCTGGTCAGGGCACATGCCCGGGTTGTGGGCCCCATCCCAGCGGGGGGCATGCCGGAGGTGGCCAGTCGATGTTCTCTCTCATCGATGTTTCTGTCTCTCCTTCTCACTTCCTCTCTCTCGAAAATCAATAAAGGAAAAAAAAAATTAAATCCTTACCTGAGGATATTTTTCCATTGATTTTTTTTTTTTTCTCGAGAGTGTAGAAGGGAGGGAGGGAGGGAGAAAAACGTTGATGTGAGAGAAATTCATGGATTGGTTGCCTCCTGCACAACCCGACCCAGGCTGGGGATGAAACCTGCAACCCAGGTACATGCCCTCGACCAGAATTGAACCCGAGACCCTTTGGGCCCCAGATGCTCTAACCCAGTTGTTCTCAACCTTCCTAATGCCGTGGCCGTTTAATACAGTTCCTCATGTTGTGGTGACCCCCAACCATAAAATTATTTTTGTTGCTACTTCATAATGGTAATTTTGCTACTGTTATGTCTTAGGTGACCCCTGTGAAAGGGTCGTACAACCCCCAGATGGGTCGCAACCCACAGGTCAAGAACCGCTGCTCTAATCACTGAGAAACCCAGCCAGGTTTGGAATAATTATCTTTTTAATGCTTGTGCTTAAAGCTAGGAAACTATCTAATTAAAAAAAAACAAAAAACTACCTTCATTTTAAAGATTTCTTTCTTGAGAAGAAAAAAATAATTCATTTCTGTGAAAACTACAGAAAGTCTTTGGTATTGTAACATAAATTTGGGAGAGAATACAGGTCAATCTCCACGGGATTGTAGGGGTTCAAGGTAGTCTGCTCTAGACTATTGGAACACATTAGCCTCTGTTTCGGAGTTAGACTCAGTAGACACTGTTTGAGCTCGGACTTACGTTCATTACAGACAAACAATTCAGAGAAGCGTGTTAAGCAGGTGAGAGAGATGTGATCAGGTGTGTAGATACTTGTTGGTCTAGAAGATGGTTGCTTAGGTGAGGATTCAACATAATGGGAACTTTTCTCAGAGTTTGGGGCTCTAAAGTGTGCCCTGGGTCCATGTGGCGCGAAGTCCGAGTGCTCACAATGTCATTTTCTGGTGTGTATGTTCTGGGGTGTTTTACAATCTGACAAAATGGAAAAGCTTCTGTATTCCAACAGCAAAGAAGGGAAGACTGAAGGCAGGGCGGTGGAGTGGAGAATACCGAGTCAAAAGACATTTAAAATATAGAATTGACACATCTCATCATGTGTGGTGTGAGGTAGGACCTGAGGTCTTGGGAGCCATTCTAAATATCCCCCCTTTCTGGCTGGTGAGATGGATGAATCCCGGGGCCCTAAAAGCAAGTTAGAATCCCCAACCTTCCCACCGGCGCAGAGCGGAAACTCCTGTGTTCCCTGAACTCCCTACGTGGGACTGTTTTTGTGATTTTTACCTGGTTGGGCATGGAGTTAATGCACGGAACCTGAGGCTTAGGAGCGGGCGTGGAGAAGATGAACTCAGACCTGGATGACTGTGCTAGTGGAGAGAGCTTCTGCAGTGTGTGATCTGGCGAGCCCGACAAGGAGGCGCGTGCGAATGTGTTCGGATCCGGAGTGTGTGCGAGCGTCTGGAGCAACACGACCTCACAGTCATCATCTATATGAGATAGGCTGCTTGCCAGAGTTAGCGGAATTGATCGCCAATGCTGAGAGTTCTTCAAGCTTCCCCAAAATGGGTGCTTACTGAGGGGAGAAGGATGCCGTTATTAGCTGTCATGTGCTTTCCACAGCCCCGCGGTTGGGCAAATACAGCCAAAGTGTCGGAAAACCGGTCTCTCCCTGCAAGGCCAGGGCATATTTTCCCATCAACCACAGTGTAGAACATTCTTTTAGCATTATAGTCCTATTCCACAGATAACAATTTATTGACAGTGAAGACCTTGAAAACGAGCGAGGTGTTACTAACCAGTGTTCTATTGGGGCATGGGCGATGGTGGGGGGAGCAAAGGACATCAGCGAGATGATCGTTTAGCATTTTCTGCAGGGATGTAAAAATATTGCCAATGGGAAAGAGTGATTGTTCTGGACATCTGGAATAGTCATTCATTTGGGAAAGCTCACGCTACAATCAAACCCTCTGAGTGATGCCGAACCCAGAGAATGATGTCATCTGAAAGTGTTTCAGAGGGCTTGGCAATTTGTCCACGACTGGATATCCGGAAGGTGCTGTTGTCGGGCTTGCGTTCCGTGCCATCCCCAAGGGTCCATGCTGGAAGATCCTTCCATTATAACACTCTGGACGGACATCCAACTAGCTCTCTGTCCCAGATGTAAGTCAGGAGAAAAATGATGTTGTTCTCCTTTGCTCTTAACAGGATATTCTGGTGTTTGTTACAGGCTGGACAGTGAGATTACACTTTCCTCCTCAATGTTCCCCTTTGTGGGGGAGTGTGTGGTTCACTTAGACTGTAAACACCCCTACGTCGACCTATCCAAGTTTATTACACACTGCGCTGTTCAGAGAATTTAATATTTATTAATATTTATTACATGTCTGTTCTATGCTGGTCACTGTGCTTGGCATTTAAAGTATCCCATTTAATTTTCAAAACAGCTCTTCAAATTAGGGATCAGTATCTCCATTGTAGGAAAAGAAAACCCAGCGCTCAGAGAAGTGGAGTGACTTCCTGAAAGACACACAGCTAGTTAGTAAGAGAACTAGGGTTTGACTCCAAAGCCCCTGCCTTTCCACTACGCCGTACCCCTCCCCTAACTGCCACACTGATCTGGCTCCCCAACGGAACTCTGAAGCTGGCAAACGGCTCATTGTCTCTGTTGCCACCTGTGCCATCTGGTGACACGTTCTTTCCTATCTGGGGAGCCACGGACATGTCCTGCCTTGAGCAGCCTCCAGTAGTTCTGATGCTCAGTCCTTACCTCGCTCTCCCTGATCTGTCGCTGAAGACTCTATCCTTCCACTGTCTCCACCCTCTGGTGTATCCCCTTATTGTGTTAATGTAAACGTTTAATATACACTTAATACTCATACCTGTGCCAGAGGCTGGTGTGAAAACTCAGTGAGTGAATTCACGTAAGCGTTTGTAGCAGCTGCTGCCTCGTCGGAAGACCTGAAGCTGGGAGCAGAAATCCCTGAGCCCCCCTGCACCACAGCTTAGCGGTTACGGGCCCAGACTCCAGGGCCAGGTGCTCTGGCTTCAGATTTGCTTTCTGCTACTGACACTGGCGAGTGTCCCAGCCTCTCTGGGCTGTAATTTCCTGGGAGGAATAGCAGTACCTACCTGTTCATAGGACGGTTGAGACGAGTCAAGGAGGTGATGAATGTTAAGTGTTTAGAAGGAACTTTGCACGTAGTAGGTGCTTTGCCTGAGTACTTGCTACGATTATCATCATCATTTATTGAGAGCCCATTTTGTGCCAGGCACGATGCTATTGCAGTTAATAAGCGATGCCTAGCGTAAGCCTTAGCGGATAGGTACTGTTATGATACCAACCTCCCAAGGGAGGACAGAGGCTCGGTAACTGGATTAGTGAGCACATAGGTCTACTGTGCAGAGTAGAGGTTTCCTGCTAGGCTTTCTGACTCTGGAGCCTGTTCTGTCCGCTAGTTTGCTATATTGTGGGGCACTGTGGAAACCCTGCTATGAGGGGACCAGATGCCCCACCAGTGAACTACACCACCTTGTCACTGAGGCTCATATAGACATGAGCATGTTGACCCAGGTGCCCTGTAAGACTGAAGGCATCGTCCTGTTTGAACACTAAGGTTTTGTCTTTTTGGGTTTTGCCTTGACCGGGTGAGATCTCACTCTGTAAAAGGCTTCTGCTTCTACCAGCACATTCTAGCAGCCCAGGCCAAAGAACTTGACCTCAAAGACCTCCCAAAATACTCTAGTATTGATCATCCACATCATCGTT